AGCTTGCTCATGGAATGATTTACCAAGTATCCTCGCACCAACCTGAGACAAGACCACCAGCCGCTCAAGCAACCGAATTCGAAAGGTACTTGGCCGATCATGCAAGTGCTACTACCGTGGCTGGAATGTGGTATTTTACATTTCGAAATGCGCGGTGGCTCTCAAAGGCGACCATTTGCCGGAACCGATGATATGTTGGCAACTGCGATGCAATGGTGAGCCAGGGTGCCAGGCTTCCAACCGGTTGGTCTACCACTACTTGTGAGGGCGGTGCGGGAACATACCCCACGACCTAGCTCCTGCTTCTGAGGGCGCTGCGGGAACATGCCAACAAAGAAAAAGTGCCTACACTATGACTAGCACGCGATGCGCACGGACCCTCAGCCACGGGGCAAAAGCCGTGCAGGCTGCACGAAGGCTTGTGGCTGACCCAAGCGGAGGCCGGCGCAGAGGGTGCAAGCTAGGCCGATCATGTAAAGCACACAAGCCATCGTGCAGGCTTCACGGTTTAGGGTTTAGGCAAACTAGTGTCTTCTCATTTCAGAACACACGGATGCTGGCCTGCAGCATCAATGGTGCGAAGGGCGCTGTAGAAGTCTATGACCCACTCCAGGGTTGCAATAGAGAAGCTGTATAGGCTGCAGATCCTATCAGAATTCTGCACAGAAAAAACAACTTCTTGAAAAAACAGCAGATTTCCACCAAACCCGTTTTTATCTCCATGCCTAGGGAGCCGGCTCAGGGCTTTTAGGGACAGGGGATGTAGGTGCCTTAGATGGGCCTGGAGCAACCAGCAAAGCCCTGAACGAGGAATCTTTCGTGTAATCCTGCCACCAAAAGCGATACCTGTCTCGTGGAAGCTTGCTCATGGAATGTAGTACCAAGTATCCTCGCACCAGCCTGAGACAAGACCACCAGCCACTCAAGCAACCGAATTCGAAAGGTACTTGGCCGAAGATGTAAAGCACCCAAGCCATCGCGCAGGCTTCACGGTTTTAGTTTTAGGCAAACTAGTGTCTTCTCATGTCACAACGCACGGATGCTGGCCTGCAGGATCAATGGTGGAACGTCTTGCAACAGGAAACATGTCAAGCAGCATCTTGGCCAAGCAGACAGTTGTCCGGCGAGATCAAACTCAAGGCGGGCTGGTTTGTCTCAACGCAGGCTGAAATGCACTGAGGCTGTTGGCAAAGTTGCACCATTGCTGCTCTGCAAGCAAGCACTGGGAAGACTCTGCTCAGCGCGTCTGCTTTAGCAACTCTCTTGCACTGCAAGGAAGACGCAACAACACCAAGCAACCAAGGCGAACTTAGATCCAGGGTTGCCTTCGTATGGAGGTGTTGCTGAGGATGTCAGAGTAAGCTGTCAGCCGGCATCCACTGATCTTGCAAGACTGGCTTGTCGTCCAAAGTTCCCGTCACCAAGGAGAAGGCTTTCGGACTAGCCGCTCCTCTGGTGCGTCAATTCCGAGGACGAGATTCTGCGGCTTGTGGCAAGCATGGGGGAAGAAGGGAGGTGCTATGCTGGCCTAGCAAAAGTTGGCGAGATGCTTGCCCCGGACTCATCAACCACAGTACCTCAGAACAAAACACAACTAGGGAAGATGTTCAGTTCCTAGACAGAACCCAACGAAGCCCACTCGTTCGAGCCCTGCACCCCTGAATGAAATCCAACACCTACGACCAGGATCTCGGGACAGAAAGATATCCAGCTTGCAGGTTAAGATGTTCAAGGTGCATGGAGGATGTTGGACCGTGTGACGTGCTGAAGCCACCCGCAAAGGCGACCAACGAGAATATCCTCCACAGGAAAAGGGCTGATCCGAGATACCGGGTTTAGGACAAGGCCCACTGGTTTTTGAACTTCCAACTCCCACGCGACTTCGTTCCTGAAAGCCAAAATCCTTGCAAAGTCCTCCAGGTGCTGACAGGACCAATACCACGGCCGTCTGGAGAAGAAGCCTTGAACCCTAAACACCCTAAAGCCTGAACCCTAACCGCCAGTCTGCTCGACATATCGACTTGAGGCAACCAAGCCTCGCCTTTGCGAACGGTAGCAAGTGACCACAGAATGATTCGGGAACCCGTACTACTATACTATACCGTACTCTACTCTACTGTACTGTCCTGTGCTGTACTGTCCTGTACTGTACCCTACTGATAATACTAGACGAAACTATACTATGCGCTTTCTCCACAGGTCCTTCTTTGCAAAATCCTGGTTGGCAGCTCGGGTCTAACGCGGCCCAAATGCGCCTGCCGGCATTGAAATTCAGCTTGCCGTCACTATGCCACAAAACCACGTTCATGGCCCAGTTGCTTCTTGTCTTTGTCTAGTCAGGGCTGCCATGGCTGATGTAGTCGCGCAAGGTTTTCTTATATACATTGCAAATCCGAATTCCAACCAACTGCAACCTTATAAGATGCCTCCCACGAAAAACCTTTGGCCCGCGAAACCCGAAACCCTAAACCCTAAACTCTAAACCGTGAAATCTCCTCCTGGACAGGAGAATATCTCTACACCTCCTGCGGCCTGTCCCCTGGCTGTCAGTCATCTGGGTACCCTCCCTGTTGGATGGCGTGCCTGTGGCTCTGGACCAGGTCGTACAATTTTGGACTTCCCATACACCTGGGTCTTGCAACAGCGCAGCTTCACAACTAGCATGGCTTTGAGGAAATACAAAGCCTGCTGATTTTGGGTCTGGGTTTTAGGGCTTTAGGATTGTAGGTTCCAAAAACCAGTAACTGTATTTGCTATAAAACTCAGAATATAGTTTGCAGTATGAAGTATCTAGTGCACATAGTGCACTGTCTGTAACAGAAGTACAGGGAACCGTGTAGTAGCGTAGCATGGGTCATTGTGAAGTGTTCTCACCGCAACACCCGTATAATGTCAGCCCACATGCACTTTGCGGCTGGCGTGCCAAACTCAGCTTTCACAGCTGGAAGGCTTGAATCTGTGATGTGAGGTGACCTATCTGCTCAGTCTGTGTATATGTCGATATCATGTGTTGACAATTGAAGCTCAAGTTCCACACACTTTGACGACCCGGAATGGTCTGGCTGTAGATGGTTTAGACCGGGCAACAACGCACAAGTGGTTAGGTTGCTTTATCAGCAGGTTCTCATGCAGAAGACGTGGGTTAGCACGTCATCGCCGGACATTTTTTGATGCGGTGGTCACTCCTATTGCGGGTTTTGCAGCGGGACATCGCAAAGTATTCGCCCATGATTTACATAAGCTCGATGTGGCCATGCGACGTATGCTGCGCTCGATAGTCGGCTCTCTTTCCAGAATGGACCGGACCAGACCGTGGCATGCAATTTTACATGCTTGGAATGCGCGAGTCCAACTGCTTGGTTTTGCGAGCGGATAACATCCTCACATGGTCCAACCGATGTCTGCGACAACATTGGAAATTGGCATAGTATGTTCTTTCGTTGCCACCTGCACGTTGGGTTCAGCGCGCTTTAAATTGGAACCGAATCCAACTCATCCCGTCGTGACATGCAAGGTTGAGATGACGCGGATGCTGCTGCAATTCTTGATACACTTAACAATCAACCGATGAAGGCCGTACCTTCGGAATGGTTGTTGGGTTGATGGTTTTAGGATTGCTGGACGTTGTTGGTGGATAAAGACTTAACAGGCTGAGCCTAAGATGAACAAAATCGATGTCCTGGAACGTCCGAGCTTGTGGCGTGCCGCTTCGGGTCGTCTTGCGAGGCACGTATGCCTCGAAATCAGGGCACAGCTGCATGCTTCTACCCAGCAAGATGTGTCTGATAGGATCTGCGCCGGGCAAGCCCTTCGCAACCTCATGCCAGAAACCTCTTCCCCGGACTTCGCTCAGTGGGAGTTTGGTCGACCAAATTTTAGGCTCTCTTGGTTTTTGCGCGTAAATCGCATAAAGGGGAGGAATGAGGGCCGCCATAACATCTTAGAGTTTGTGGACAATAGTTCCCTGGCCCTGGAGGCTGTCGACCTGGCCTTGGCATTCCCTGAGCACATGCATACATTCCATCATCTTCCACATTGAAACTGCTGATTCTCGATGCTTTGGAGTGAATACCACATGTTGCTCCATCTCTCGGATGATTAACGTGATGACCCTGCCAAATATGCTGTTGGACGACTCTTTCCATCCAACACGAGCGAAACTCTTTTGAACAAACTAGCTCCATCTCAAGAGTAGCCCTCTGCTCGCCTGCATCTCTGGCCACGTGCCGCCTCTGCCCATGTGCCATGGCAGAGCTCCGAAGCCAAATCGTTGACGGTATCATTGGAAGTCATCCTTTGCAAGCTGGAGCTGCGTGGCATTTCCCCAGTCACTGCAGCATACAGTGTGTTACATACATACTAGTGTTATTTCAAATCTTTCAGTGCGAAAATCTGAAGAAATGCAATCGAGCGCACTCATGCCAAAACGTCAAGACCACCTGACGGTGACATAGGAGTCTGCGAATCACTTTGCGGAACTGCTTGGGCTGAAAGGGATCCGATCATCTCGGAGCGGGAAGCTCAAAAGCCAAAACAAGATCAGTGTTAGGATTCTTCTGGTTGGTGGTGATGCCCTCAAACTACGAGCCAAACTCTTGACGGCTTACACCTCCACCGACACCTGCCAGAGAACCTGGGCTGCAGCGATGCTTTTTTTGAGGCTCGCAGCTTGCCGCTCGGAGGCCAGCCGCGCTGCAGAGCCTGGACGGGAAAAGCGTGGCAAAGCATAATTTCCGAACAACACATGGCATCGCGGCACGCACGGCTTGGACTTTTCGTGCTGCAATCCTTGCTGCTTGAATTTAATCGGCGATCCTTGGTCGGTAAAAATGCTTCCGAAGCCCGTAAGACGGATCCCAGAATGGCTTGGCTGTCATGACTTGTGCCGTGGATCGGGCCGGCGCCCCGAACGCACCCCGAACACGCCCTGCGCAATTGCCGAAAGCGCCTCCACGTTCGAGGCACCGAGGTGTGGTGGTGGCACGCCGCCGGCTTGTCAATCAGGCAGCTGCCTTACATGACTTTCTGGATCACATCTGGTCACAGCGAATACGACAATGAGGGTTCGCATGACCAGGAAAAAACTTGAACAACAACTCTGGGCTCTGCGCGCTTTTCTTAGCAGCTCCTCTAGCAAAAAAACTTGGCAACACACCCCCCCCCCCAGCCCATGCGGCCCGGCAAACAACCTCAAGACTGAGCTCCCTTCTGTTGGGGCACTGCTCCCGGACAAACATGGACAAACTGAAGACTCGAGCGGCGTCTCAACACCGGCCATGGTTGCACTTCGAGGCTGCGGACTGCGAGCTCTCACGCGGCAAGCGGCAAGGTGGGATGAGGTACAGAAAGGCCCCGTCCCCCAAGAATCACACAACATCACACAAACAACAAGCACACACAAGCACCAAGTCTGCCAAGTTGCCAGGACATCGCGTGCCCACGCGAAGGGCAGGCGCTGCTCGATATTCTGCGCAAATTTCGTGAGCTGGTCCTTGGCGCGGGGGCCGCATGAGAATTGCGCACTGCTTCCGACAAGCCTGCTGCAAGGGATTAAGCAGCTTGATCTTTCCATGCGCTGGGTGGAGGGGGGGGAGGGTGAACATGCCCTGTGCCCAGGGGGGTGTTGCTAAGCCAAGGTGCCGGACGCTCCGGATTTTTCCCATAGCGCTCAACATATTGCCGCAAGATGTCCTGCAACTTGAGAATAGCTTCCATCGAAAACTGGAGACACTCAACAGAAAGATCATCTACAAGGGCAACACTGGCAACGCTGGCAACGCTGGCAACGCTGGCAACACTGCTCCTTCGCGACGCTGTCCTTCCGCTCTACGCCCTGGCTGGCCTGCCCAGCCACCCCCCAGTCAATCTGCTTCACATCACTCGTGGTCACTCGCGACAGAATGCTCCGCGCCTGCCCCAAGCGGCCATCTTGCAAGGATGCTTTGGTACGGCCCCACAGCCCAGCATCCTGCCACCGTGTAATCACCTAGGCAGTCCCAATTCTAAAGACTCCGTTGAAAGAACGCTTCATGTCAGGCATGTGAGAGCACGGCGGGTGCTCTGCGAGATGACGCGGTCTGCTGCGCCATCTCCTATAAGGACACCACAAGCACGGTCAAAGCAAACACGCGGAAAGATTGGAGGCTGGTGGCATCTATAGGCAGCACTTTCAAAGTGCACAAGGTTGTACAAGCTCTTCCTGCACGGGGCCCGGGACTGCGTCCCGGGAGCTCGAAGCCCTGCAGTGGGCGCGCGGTTCTCTTCGCAGTCCCACTTCCGACCGCCACTGCAAGTGAACCGCCAACCCCGAGAACTGCTGGCCTCGCAGAGCCAGGTGAGCATTGGCTGGAACCAGAGATGTCCCAGAGCTCCTCCTGTAGGCACATCGGCATCACACCATGCAAGCCGTCAACGAAAAAGCCGCCTTAAGTACGAGAGGGACATCCATCGGAGATTTGTTTTTTTCATTTGGAAGCCGCGCTTCGACGTACACTGGACAGAGGACAGAGTGTCCCATCACACGTCTCGGTTGGAGTCCTTCTTGGCCGTCTCGTGGACCTGCGCCTGCGGCGTCAACTCCACAAGGACAAAAAAGGCCGGAAAGCCGATGTCGGATCCTGCTCAAAGATCTGCTTTGCGAGATGCGCCTTGAATTCGTAGAGCTCGTAATGCATGCTCAGCAGGGCGACGTCCTGCTCCCTCACATAGGCCTGCCGGAGCCCGTGGAGGAAAAACTGGGCCATGGGTCAGCAACGCTCAGCAACGCAAGGCGTCCTTCTGGTTTTACATTATCTTGGAGTGTAACACATCTTTCATTGCGTGTCATGCGAGACGTGTCCATTTTGCAGGCGCCTGAAGGCTGGCGACTGCCTCTTGCAGCTCCGCCACCTTGGCCTCGCACCAGGCTCCCCTTCACAGCCCCCCCGATCGCCCCCGCTAGGAAAGAAGATTCCCCCGCCTCGTTGCGGGCCAACTCCTGTGAGCACTCCTCCACCGGCCGATATACTCAACTCATGCTTTGGAGGGGGGAGGGGGGGTGGGGGCAGGGCAAGCGCAATCGGATCCAGGAGTGGACACAGAACCACGTAAGAGCACCCCAACTTTACAACGTTTTCACAACGAACGGTCGCACCTCCGCCTGCTCTCACGCATTTCACACTCACGTCACTGTGTACTTCTCTTTTCTTTTCTTTGCTTTTCTTCAGCCTTTTCTTACTCAGCTCATGCTTTGGAGGTTGGCAGGAGTGGGGCCGGGCAGATGCAATCCGGAAGTGGACAGACCTACGCCAGAGTGAGCTTCTGCGCTATCCTGCCCTGCGCATGCGACGCGCGCGCAAGCGCGCGCCCTTGCTACTGGTTCACACAGTTGACAAGTCACGTCACACCACCCCGCATGCTAAATGCACAAGTCACTCCTGAGAAGCTGCAGCTGCGCATGCGAGATCTTGCTGCAGCTGGGCCTCAAAGGTGACAGAACCAAACAGAGAGCAGTCAACAAAGCAAGTGTGTGTTGCCACATAGCACTTTAATGACATCATGGCCCTTGCCTTAGGGGGGGGGGGTCCCGAAAAAGTTACCGATAACATTTCCAGGTCTCTCGCCGGGCATCTGGGAAAAACATGCAAACCTACCCCACAATCCGTGTAACATTTCGAAGACATGAAAGAGTCAGAGAACTAAAGCACGCATGTGTAGGTCTTTGCGTGGGCAAGACACACAAGCTAAAATGTTACCAAGCCTGGGGCGGAGGGCTCCTGGTAACAACTCCGACCGCCAAAAATGTTTCCACGAAACCATCGGTAACTGACTCAGCGCCTCCCCTGGGAAACATTTCCTAAAGCAGGGCCACATCACATCGATCAAAGGGCCTTCTCGGCTGCCCAACAGCTCTCTTGAGCTGTCTTGTCCTGAAACCCTGCCTCGCACACGCGGGCGAAAAGTAGAGGTGCAAAATTGCCGCTTTGACACGTGCGAGATTTGACCCGCGCGCCTGAAGCCTCAAGACGGCTTCTTTCAGCTCCGCCAGTTCGGCCTCCCATATGAGTCTCCCTTTGGTGAAGCCCCTGCTACAAACGTCCCCCAGCCACCTGGTTGCCAGCCAGCTCCTTCAAGTACTCCTCCACACACAGTTCACTCTTGCAATTGAAAACGCTGAAGCATGGCAAGTTCAAAGGACAAGGCCATGCAAGAGCCCTGTAAGACTCTAAGACGGATAAACTCGTTGGCCAGCTTCTATGTCACGGCAACATGTGCCCGTGGGCGCTGCACCAAGACTGGCTGTGTCACACCAGTCAGCTTCTGCTAGACACAAAAATTCGCTCCTGAGAAGCAGCTGCCGCTCTTGCGAGATCTCCCTGCAGCTCGGCCTCGAATGTATAACAGTAAAGAAAACAAAGCGGTCACCAGAGCCAGGCGCTGCCACAACACTTAAAATAAATGTTAGTCCGCTTGATCAAAGGCCTTCTCGGCTGCCCAACAGCTTTCTTTAGCAGCGGTCTTGTCCAGATGCCGTGCCTCCCAAAGCAGGCACCAAGTAGAGGTGCTGATTGCAACCTTGATGTGTCCGTGCTGCGCCTCGAGCCTCATGACTGCTTCTTTGAGCTCTGTCAATTCGGCCTCCCATGAGTCTCACGTTGATGAAGCCCCTGCCACACATGTCCCATGGCCGCCTGGTTACCGAGCAGCTTGTGCAAGTACTCCTCCAGGGACCACTCGCGGTTCACTCGTGCTTTGGGGACATTGGGCGTGGCAAATAGCATCCCTGCCCGGCCCGTGCAAGAGCCGTCAGAGTAGTCTAAGACGGGCATTCTCGTTGTTCAGCTTCTACTTTACCCTGAGCGTGATGCGTGCGCAGGCCCTGTGTCAGGATTGGCCGCTACGATCTGCTACGTCACACTAGTCAACCAGGGGCTCCGAGATAGCGGGAAATTTTGCTCTTAGGGTCGGGGCACCTCAACGAGACCTTCCCGCCGGCGACAAATCTGCGCAGCCCCGCAAACACGCGGCCACACACGGGACCCACCCCTCAAAGCGCAGGAAGAGGCCACCGAAAAGCGCCACATCGTTGCGGGATTTCGCGGGCCCAGGGCCCTCAACGCACAGGAAGACCCCCCCACCCACTGACCCCAGGCCCCTGATGCCCGCGATGCGTGCGCAAGCCCGTGGCAACAGGATTGGTTGCTGCGTGACACTCACTAGCTGACGCATCTGACTCTCAATGGCACCTCAACAGGACAGATCTGTCGCAGCCCTGCACCACCCCTGCACCCACGCCCTTGGCACGGAATTGCTTGCTACCTGATACTCACTAGCCGTCCTGAGAAGCCGCTGCTGCGATGGCGAGTTCTTGCTGCAGCTCGGCCTCAGAAGCAAACGTGCATCACCGTAGCAGTCACTGGAACAGCCACAAGGCTGATCAGCGGCCTTCTCCGCCTCCCAGCACCTGGCAGCTGCCTCAGAATATCTCAGAAGTCATGCATCCCACACATTCCCACACGTAAGCGCCAGCAGAGGTGGCAGATTGCGACTTTGATACATCACGCAGCCGCTTTGACGGGCCTCAAGCCTCATGACGGCTTCTTTGAGATCCGACATTTCGGCCTCCCATATGAGTCTCCCGTTGATCAAGCCCCTGCTACAAACGTCCCCCGGCCGCCTGGTTGTCAACCAGCTTCTGCAAGTACTCCTCCACGGACCACTCGCGGTTCACTCACGCTTTGGGGACTCTGGGCATGGCAAATTCAATCCGGGAGCAGACAGGGCCACGCAAGAGCCCTACAAAACTCTCAGATAAACAAGCTGAATCAAGCTCGTGGGCTTTTACTTTGCTCTGTCTGCTGTAATGCTAATCGCAGGGATGCGCAGGGTCGCTCCTGAGAAGCCGCCGCTGCGCTCGCAAGCTCCTGCTGCAGCTCGGCCTCAAACGTGGAACTACGTAACGGAGCGGTCGCGAGCGCCACACGAGCTGCCACAGCACTGATCAGAGGCCTTCTCCGCTGATGTCTGGTCCAGAGCCCGGGCCTCCCACATGCAGGCGCTAAAAGTAGAGGTGCTCTTCATGTCCGGACATCAAGTAAGACGCGGACCAGGGCTGCATGGAACTCACTTTTGAGAGCCGCCACATATTCATCACTGGCCGTGGTCTCCGGAACCTGCACGTTTGGGGAAGCAGAGGCAGGGGCCAGCTTCTGCTCCAACGACCCGCCTTCGCTTTGGATGGTTGGACTTCTAATTTGCGGGCGTCCTGACCCAGCAGCTTTTACGGGGCTTGAAGCTTGGCGAAGTGCAGAGCTCTTGCGTGTTGCCGTCCCGCCTCCCCTCCCAGAAGCATCGGCAAGGGAGGCCTCGGCAGATCAACTGCGAACTTCAAGCCTGGGGCCATGCAGCCTAGCCTGCAGGCTTGCGGTTTGGCCACTTTTCAAATTGCGAAAGCACAACACGGGTTTCAAGCACCCCACCCCCCCCTCCCCGTCCAAAGCCATGCAAACAACACACTTGGCTTGTCTTCTCGCCCTGTGAGATCCTTCTTTCTTCAGTCGCCCTGCCTGCAGCGAATCAATACGCCGTGCGTCCCACAAAGCCCTGCTTGTTAGGTTGCCATCTTTCGCATATCGCCACATCAGTCTGTCTGTTCAACTATGGTTCTTAGATTTTGTTGTAGTTGTCTAGATGGTAGTCACTAAAGCATATCATGATACACATGTATTTTGTATACATTTCTTGCCTCACGTGGGAAAAAAAGCACGTCACATCTTGGAAAGGGTGTTAGTGCTTCCTCGTTGTCGACTACCTGTTCTAGAACGTCCTCGAATCTCGCCCTTCTGTGCAAATTATTGGGCTATTGAGGGTTTTGCCATGGTCGCCTAACGTGGGGCGCGGGTTGGGAGCCTGAGCTTTCGGCTGCGTTTGGCATCGTTGAGACACACACACCCAATGAATTCGGTAACGACATGGAAACAGATGAAGAGTGAGAGCAGCACGTTCGACGGGTGTCAGACCGAGCAGAACAAGCGAGTCAAAGCAACAGGTAGCGGATAGCACAAGATAGCACAAGCACAACAAACAATAACAGCAACAAAACAAACACTGAGGCTAGCCAAAGAAACAAAATACTTCAGGGCTCTCATGCCCAACTGCTGCAAGGCACTCGGCCTGGGACCCCCTCAAGCTGAAAAAGCACTTGACCCTTTTGACCCTCCCTCCCCCCCCAAAAAAAATGTGGCTAAAGTAACGTTAACATACTTTAACAACAGCGGTCTTCTTGTGAGGGACCTCTGACGACAATGTTTTTTGCAATTCTCGGCCCTCGGCGCTTCCGTCGGTCCGGACTTGAATGCATTGACCGCCTTATGGACCTTCGCTTTAGGGCTGCGATGCAGCTGTGAAGCTCGCAACCACTCCGAGCTAAAACCGGCTGGGCCGCTAAAAGCTCCTGACCTTCATCGGGGTCAGGGTGGCCAGGCTGGCAGCCTCAGCTTCACAACAACTTCATGGCGTCATCAGGCTCCACTCCTTGCAAGGCTCCAAGATCGCGGCCCTGGCTTCAGCATGGCCTCTGGCCTGACAGCGCGCATCAAATCACACAACACACCATGCAGGGCACCGAGCTTGCACGGATGACCCCGAGGAAGGCCCCGGCGGGTCGCGGCGTCACAAACGGTGACCCTTCCTGGCCCGGGCGCCGGTCACTCCCCGTGCACCAACTCTCCCCCAGTCGGGACCCCAAGCACTATGATCACTGTAGATGCTGTTCAATGCAAGACATGTCTTGGCTGCCGCATTGCCGCAGGCACGGGTGACCTTGGTCCAGTTGGTGGGTTCCAAGTCGAATTCTCTGTGGCCGCCTTGAAACGCACGCCTTGACGCGCATGTGCAGCGCATTTGAAACGCAGACGGGCCGCACTCTTGAACCGCGGCGGCGTTTGCGACCGCAATCGCAAAGTGGGCCTCGTGATCGGGGACCGTGAGATGGGAAGAACAACACTAAGGACTGCAGGTTGCGCAACAGGCTGCGCAAGGTGCCAGTCTCAGTCTGACACAGAAAGCGGGCCGGACCTCAGCCGCGTGAGATGAAGCAGGGGATGTCTGGAGCACGTACAGCGATGGTCCAATCGGCGGCACAAACGGTACGAGGCAGTCGAGCTCCGGGCTGATGGTTCGTGACACCTGGTTAGACCAAAATGTTCCGGTTCGGGCTCGGGTTGTTCGGATTCAAGTTTGGGGGTTCCGGTTCGGGTTCAATATTTCGGAGGAGGGGGCGGGGGTTCGGGTTCAAGTTCGGCTCAATTTCTTGAGGGGGTTTCGGTTCGGGCTCCGGATCGGGTTCGGGGGTTCAGTTCCGCTTCGGGTTGGGGTTCAGGCGGGGGAAAATTCCAATTCCGGCTCGGGTTCGAGTTCAGGTTCGGGCTCGGGGGGGAGCTCGGAATGGGTTAGACAAAAAGCAGCATGTGAACTGCCAAGCGGATCTCAAACCAAAGTGTCAGACATGTTTGGCAACCCACATGCTCGCCAAACTCCTGCCGAGCCGCCACCACCGGTTGCGATGCCCCAGGCAAAGGTGCTCTGAGAAGCGCCATGACCAACACAGAAAGCTCCCTTCACACGCCCAGACCCCGAAGCCCATGCCATAGCAACAGTAGCAATTTGCGCGTACGCTGGCTGTGTTTCACATACAGACCTTTATGAGCTTGTATGCAGCATATTTGAAGATACGATTTGCTAACAACTATAACTACTTTTTAGCCGTAGCTGATGATGTGCACAGCACTCTTCTGAGACTGATGGCTGGACAGGAGCTACCAAGCGCCGCCATTCACTGCATGCAAAATCTGGCTCATTGCTCAAGGACTGCGGTGCAAGAATCTCCCGACTGATTTTTCCTTGCAGGGAGGCGCGGTGTCGTCGGTTTCTGCGGAAAGGCTTCGCCCTCTAAGCATCGGCTCTCACTCTAGGTTGGGGACATGGCAGGACGAAGCATGACCTGTATGATGTGCTTGCATCCCAAATAATGTGGTAGCTCTCACTGCAAACTCGAATCGGGCACAGATCTCCTATGGGCCAAAAAAAGTGTTCGCAGTAAGAATCGCCCAGAAGTGCCATCCTGCAGGTTCGGGGCTTTTGGGACTTTGCCTTCCGTTTTCATCCCGAACCTCCAACAAGTCATTTTTGCTGGACGATTCTTTCGACGGATCGCCCCACTTTTTAATGACCTTTCAGGGCAAATTTGTTTTGAGCCTGTGGACTTGCTCCTCCATCTCTGTTTCGAGATTGGTTTTGTTTGCCTCAAAAGCGCAAGAATTCAATATGATTCACTCTGGCCGTGGATAGCCTCTAGCGAGTCAAAAAGGCTTTACCAAAGAGAGAGTGTGGCCGTGCCGGCCTGAATTGTCAACAGTCACACAAAATGACAGAGTGACAAGAGTGACGGCCGTCATTTTCTGAACAACATCAAGCGCCGCAGAACACATAAAATAGAATCTACACTTAACGTCCAGGAGGGTAAACTGACAAAAATGAGAAGCAACCGCAAGAGTCCACCGGCCGCCGCGCGTCCCACGCTTGCTTTTTTTTGTCATTTCTGTCGTTCCTGTCATCTGCAGGGCTGGGCGGTCTCAGGCGCGTGCTGGAGCTGACATTTGCCGTTCCGCAAGCCATGGTGACGGAAAACTGGAAATCTCCGGAAATGACGAAATCACCGGAAATTACAAGAATGACAACAATGACAAGAATGACAAGTGTCATTTTTCTGGCGGGAAAAGCCATCAGTAGACCTCGGAGCTGCGGCGCGGCTCAGCGAGGCCCGGCCCTG